AATTGACATTATTTACTATAAATTTCCAAGGGGATTTAGAACATGATTCACCAGTGTAAGTTATTCAAAAGATAAAAAATGATTTCACTCCAACTCTGAAACAATGTGCATGTGAGGAAAATATTACTATTCAATAAACAGAGCATTTCCAAGAATAACAAAGTCAATCCAATAAACCATAAAATCGAATTAAATCTTAATATAGGTATTTCAGTCCCGTCCTACATGATTTAATATTACAAATTTTGTTTCATTTACACATACACTACCATTCAAAAGTTTGGGGTCAGAAAGATTTGCTTTTGAAAAAAATATTATAAATGACAATAAAGACAATTAACAAAGTTTTCATTAATTTCAAATACATGTTGTTCTTTTGAACTTTCTATTCATTTAAGAATCCTGAAAAAAAGAAGTACAACCGTTTTTCAACATAAATAATAATAAGAAATATTTATATTTTTTGAGCAACAAATCAGCATATTAGAATAATTTCTGAAGGATCATGTCACTGAAGACTGGAGTAACGATGAAAAAAAATACATTTCAAAATAAATAAAAATACAAACGGTTCCTTATTTTAAATTGTAATAATATTAAAAAATATTACTGAATTGGTTTTCAAAAACATTTTAAAAATAGAACCGGTCCTAAACTTTAATGTAAGTCACATTACAAAAAGTTGTGTTTGCTGTCTCATGTTGTGTGTGTATTGTCATGTCATATGTAGCACTAAGGCCTGAGTGGCTATCACTTCTGCCAATAATGGAGGCCTATTTCCCTTTCTTTTCTTTTCATTCATCTAATCAACAAAACAAAAGGCCCAATTTCCTTTTCTGACCCTTCTAAAGAAAGCGAACAAATGCGTACAGTGCAATAGAAACCACAAACTGGACCTCAATCAAATAGAAATGCACCACGCTCTGTCTACAAAGTTCTCAATCACATACAATGTTTTTCACGTGCTTAAACCAACCCGATCTCACGATAATTCGTATGAATTTTACGAGGTGGCTAATTCGTAACAATTCGTACGACCTCACTCGTACGAATTAGTACGTTTTTGCTAAATCGTACATATTTTACGAATTGGCTAATTTGTATAAATTCGTACGAATGACCTACCCCTGACCCCGCCCCTAAACCTACCCATCACTTTGGACAAATCGTACGAATTCGTACGAGTGAGGTCATATGAATTAGTACGAATTAGCCACTTTTTAATCACTCGTATAAATTTGAATTGGTCGTGAGATAGCGTAGGCTTAAACACACATTAACACACCGGCCCTTCACAAGAAGCAATCCATGTTTGTCATGCAAAGCACAGGAAGGGAGAGAAGAGGAGCTATCTTGCCAGTTTACAACAGTCCTTCACTGTCACCTCAGCAGGCCTCTAAAACACTGACCCCCATCTTCAATAAATCCCTCCCCCATGTGACCTCCACACGGGGGGGCAAACTGAAAGGGAATGGGGGGTAAGACGAAAAAAACAAGGGCTGTTTCTGAGCTTTGTTACCGAGAGATCTATTCACAGAGTGTGTATTTGTGTGTTGGGGGCTTTAACACACAGCCAATTTGTTACGCTGGACGCCTCACAATGGCACAGGGGGGGGGAAAGTGAAGTCATACTTGAGGCAATGCATGGGCGCCCATGGCAGAGGTCACAAAATATCACCCCGCTACTGTGTCTTAGAGAAAGAGTCAAAAGAGGAGAGGAGAAGAAGAGAGGAGAGGAAAGTGCATTGCAGATGGACTTTAGGAGGAAGTCAACGAAAGGATGATGGATAAATGAAAATTTCCTCCTCGGCTAAACCTCAAGCACCAGGGAGAGGACCTAAATGTTAGCAGATGGCGATACAAATGCCCTAGCAGAATGTCCCGAAGAAAAAAGGTTTCTCCCCACTCACATGTACCTAGAAAAACAAATGCATGCAAAAATACTACACAATTTCCTAAACTATAAAGTGTCGACTTAATGTGCACAAGTAAAAGAAAAGGCAAGCATGTGTGTTTATTGAGTTCAACCCTAGAAAGTCTGGTACGGGATGTGGAAATAGCCCAGCGCAGTAATTAAAGTTTTATCAGGCAAATAAATTCCGCTACACCCATTTTATCACAGAGCTGGCAGTGGCCTGACGTTGGCCATAGCTCTCCAAAGGTAATGACAGTAAACAAGCTAAACATTTCTCATCATTCGTTGGGTGTTCCACTGTGAGTGTTTGTAAAAACGCAGTCAAGTAAAACTTTGGGGGTTATGCTCATTTCAGAGGTGTAAATCCTTCTCCCAAAATGTCTCGGTATAAAAATACAGCCTTGCTAAAGTTCTTTTGAAACGTAAGAGAAAGCCACTACAAAGCACAGCACGCTCACCAGCCGCTGCCATGTTTATTTTCTTAGCCTTGCTAATACCGGTCAGCCACATTCCTCTATTCCCAAACTGAGAGGGTTCAAATTGCCCTGCAGTACTCTTGGAAAGGGCCAAAGGAGGACGGGACAGAAGGAGAGCTGCCCTGTGAACAACACCTGTCGTCTTCCAGACTATTAGCACCTTTACGTTTACAGCTCAAGGTCCCGATCGCCTTCATGTTACGCGCCGCGAGAACCCCAAGCCGCCGGGAATGCCGTTAGAAGGAGTCCCACGTGGAAAGGTGAAAAAAGACACACTGGCACACAGTTTAAGCGTCTCTAAAAGAACCGAAGCCTATCTTTATATGAATTCCAAGAATTGCATTGTTTTGGGAATCTGCATGTTCAGAATTTCTTAGTGACATACTTGAGATACTCTTGAGAAGCAGTTGGTGGTGCTTTTAAATACGATTAAGGCTGCACTGCAGAGTCACACAGCGTTCAAGATGTTTAGACACAGTTCACCTTCCTCACATTCTACAGATAACTTCACCTGAAACAGTTTTAAATACTCTGAAAAACTGTTGACTATTTAGCATTCCACTCAGAGAGTCAAAATCTGTGGGCTGTTCCCTGGGCCACAAGTTTACTGAGTTTACTAGAGACTTGGAGATACAATAAGGTGTATGATCGATATTTAGCTATAGCTATATATAGAGTTTAGCATATTTTGAGCCATTCAGGCAAGGTAGGCCAAAAGTCAAAGAGAGCTAATGAATTCTCTACCTTGTAAAACATTCTTCACCTTCCCAACAGCTCATCTCGGCTTTAACACCCTGCCTTTAGCCAAAGCAACAGGCACATCACAGATTTTTCACCTGATGGTGAAGTGCTGCTGTCACATGCTCACCGTGGAAAGGATTTAGCACTGAAAAAACATCCCCTTCCCCCTCAGCCACTGTGTACAAACCACTGTAACTTTTACAAACTCCCCCAAAGAAGGCAAAGAACTGCAATCTGACTAATGAGAGTCAATAACATTTTATTGATGGCCAAAAAAAGTAGGATGAATAAATATTCACATATTTACTTTTTGATTTTTGGAGTTCCCCAGTTGGGATGATCCATAACATTTCAACACGGCAGAGTTTTTCTAAATACAGCAACTTTATTTGCATTTGTGGTCACACTATAGTTTAGGGTCCAATTCTCACTTTAACTAAATATTAACTACAACTTTTGCCTCAGTAAACTCCCAATTGATGCTTATTAATAGTTAGTAAGGTAGGCTAGTTGTTAAGTTTATGATTAAGGGATGTAAAATCTGGTCATGCAGAATAAGGCATTAATATTTGCTAGTAAACAGACAATATCCTAATGCATGCCAATAAGCAACTAGTTAATAGTGAGAATTGGACCCTAAACTAAAGTGTTACCATATAACAGTAAGACTCATTAGTGCAGCATGTCCCATCAGTGACTAATCAGGACAGCAATGGTGCCAACAATTAGGCCTTCTGATAAGAGCCACAATCAAGCAACTTCATATAGAAGACCTAAGGGAGCCATTTTAATTACGTGGGATTGTTAAGTTGGTGAAGGTTATGTGAATTATAATTAGAGCTGAAGATGTTATGAACAGGCACATCAGTTTAGTACAATATATTTTCTTGAGTAGATTTTAAACATTACAAGAATCCGTAGTGTTCAAGTCGAGCCTTCTTTGGCTGATTTAAAATAGTCCTAAAGTAAGTGAGTTGAAATAAAAACATTCCATTCATCTTGATTATGGTAATTAAAGTGAAAGTAAGTCTGGTAAACACAAGGTGAATCCATCTAGAAGACAGTTTGCCTCCAGTGAACATTTACTGTTGGCCTTTACAAGAAACGGTGAAGCACTCAGGCGGGCCACATTCCAATTATACACGGTCTGATCAACACTCCTTACGGGGGCACGGAGGGGGAGGGGCGTATGCTAATGACGCAGGGACGCGCACAGTCAGGGAGCGTTCATCACGCACCGGGAGCGGGTGCGCTGCGAGGTCAACCCGTGACTTCAAATAATTAACGGTCAGGACGCATAAAGCGCCTGCGTGCAGTTAAAGGAGAGCAAACTTAAATGAATTCGGCCAGAATCAGTGATTTATGATTGAGATCAAAATGATAAAACAAGCTTTATTTACCTCAGAGCAATTAAACTTGACATATAATAACATAATATGTCATCAAAAGCTATATCTGAAGGTGTTCATATGATAAAATAGGTAGAAGCAGGTGCTATTGCACGGCTCAGGTGCGTTTAATTACCTGCAGTGCGGTGCCAAACGCTCTATGACAAAGCACTTATATCAACCCAACACCGCAGAAAAGCGCCGCAAATGACCCTCAAGCCTCGCGGTGTAAAATCATTCTAGGTTTCGAAACAATTCCAAAACACGCCTATGCTTTTACCGCATGGAAAAAAAGATCATGAGCGATGCTTCAGCACCTATAAGTACCGAGGCTGCTCTTTGCAATAGCGATGCTTTTAAGAGCGTTACAGAACGCCGAATGATAACAGGCACCCATCCGTTCTGCAGTTAAAAACAAACGACAACAGCAGCTGAGTGAGAAGGCATGCGAGAAACACTGCACATACATCTTTTTTATACCTGCACAAGTTGACATTTGCTGCAACGCACGAGAAACGCCTCCCGTCTGCTTTCAAAATGAGCCAATGTATCTCAGAAAGAGAGAGAAAAAGAAAGACTCCTTCTTTGTCAGCAAGTTCAGGTAGCAAAAAAACAACAAACAATAGCGAGATGGTCAAATTGCATCAATGAAAAACCTAAGTGACAGGTTCCCTTCCGATCAGGTAAGCACATATTTACAGGTCGCTCTAACGCGCGCACGCTGAAAGAACCGCTACATGGCGCGCGCATGGCGTCAGCCTAAGGAAAAGTGTCTTTCTTCACTCATCTCTTTATCAAAAAACACTTAACTCTGCAGATAAATCGTCGGAATGTTAAACGGTGCACTTTCATCTATAAAACACGGAGTGTAGATGAATAAAAATGATTTTAAAAGTGTTTTCGAGTTTATATTCCCCATCACACGCGCGCGCAAGCGAGAAGTAAAGCACGCCCTCACATTTCTCATAATCGATTTCCTTAGTAAAATTACTATGGAAACAGCGACAGCGTGCCAGATCAATCGTTATAATTCAAGAGGGCGAATACGCAAGTACGATTTTAAGTTATTTACCACACATAAACCTGAAACCTACACGTGCATTACAAAGCGGATACATAAAGTCCCCGAAACAAATAAACTGTCAGTGCAGTAAGTCCAGCTGCAGCAGCGCGATTTATCAGGAGGATTGTCTGCGCTGCTCAGGATGTATACGCATTCCTTATATAGGCTGCAGCAGTTGTTCTAGCAGCAGACAGCCCTTCAGATTCCTTTCCTTTTCTCTTCAGCGTTACCACCCAACTAGAAATGTGGCAGGCTGGCTGCAACAAACAGGTTGCTTTAACTGGCATCGTGCTCAAGAGCTCTCTGAGCCCCGGTCCCTGAGGGACGCCTAGACTGGCAGGACTGTTACTTAAACACACCCTTATTTTCTTCTTTGTAAACTTCAATCGGAGTTCAAGAAGAAACTTTCCTGTCAAACATCACCGCGAACTGCATACATGCCCCTTTTTCCCAATGCAGCAACAGAGAGAAGCGTGCTTCTGTTATAAGGCAGTTTCTTCTGAGCTACATTACAAAAGTGGGACTTGTAGCTGCACCACAGCAATTGAAACCAGCCAAACTGTCACATCGGCGATATAAACCCATGTTTTCATAAACACTATGCTAAAATGTTTACATACACACTATTAGAGGTTATTCTTAGAATTCCGCTAGCTCGCTAGCTAACGTTACCTGCTACCACGCAGACAGCGGAACAGCCCATTGCAGATATATCAAAGTTTGTTGTCAACGTAAATAAAATAAAATCCTCCCAAGCACCCGCTCTATTTACAAACACGTCTTTATGAAAGCATTTCCACCACTTCAATCGCTCAAACTGGTTCATGCGAAACCAAATCACCCGCATCGGAGCAAACAGGTACATTTTGAACGAAAAAAATAAGTTTCATTTCGTTCGAATCTAAAGAGGAAAATCCAATAATAACGACCAATGGGAGTACAAGATTCGAATCGAATTAATTTGTTTAATCATAAAGCTTTATAAAGTGAACTCAAGGCAAAGAGAAATAAAAAGGGAAACAAAAGCGAGATTCACTTGTACGGGACTGGCTGCGTATAACGGTCCGCGCTCGCGCTGTGTACCACTAGGCGGTGAGAGAGTCGCGAGCGCGGCAGGTATAACGGTACACCAGATAGGGGCTATAACACAGCGCTACTTTCCAGCACTTTTTGGGGCTCGAGAAGTTCTGCCAGCGGCCCGGAGTCTAGAGCTGAATGAAATCAGTCGTCGCCAAGCAAAGCGAAGGGTTTTTACTCACCATTTGTCCTCCTCGGGTTCGCCTGCTTTCTGCGCTTACACCTGGGGCCATCCGCCATGATCCTTTCGCTGTGTCTAAATGCTGCTGGAGAGTCACCTCCTCTCGCCCCCACACCTCCCCTCCCTCCCTTCTACTCCACCTCCCCTCCCTGCACCTGGTTTACGACACTCGGCTTTACGACATTACCTTCTGGCTCCTATACCTCTCTCTCTGGCGCTCAGACCCCCGTCTCTGGCCAACTCCCGCCCCTCACACCACGCGCTCCCTGTGGCGCTGCTGCCTGTCCGAAACGGTCACTGATCAACCTGTCCATTTACACGTAGAGGACTTCAACAATCTATGTTGATTGACAGCTCTAAGGAAGCATAACTCTTTGGACAAAACAAACATTTCCAAGCTTGTACAACAACCGAAAAGCGCAATGGTAAATATTCAACATGAATCAAGCGTCATCATCATATTTTTTTTCTTCTACAGTCAGAGTGGAGGCGGGGGAAGTTTGACGCGTGCACCTGTTTATGGTGCGCGCGCCCAAGCTCTAGCACACATAGCCTACACACACATCGACACAATCTGCAACTTTTTCTTATTCATGATGTGGCAGAAATCTGAATATCTCAGCAAGTAAATAGCAACATTTTAAATAGGGGACACTAGGGCTAGTTGTCAGTAACACTTTACTCCAACAAGTATTTAATACAATCTAGGCTATAATGTATATAATTATTTCTTATACATTTCCATTGTTATTGCCCATTACAAAACACATACAGTTAACATAGCCCTACATAAATTTGTGACAACATAGTACCAGGTATGGGGTAAGTTGTCACAATCTAAATCAGCAACTTTTTGTAATAAATAATTAATAAATAATGCAAAAATAAATGAACAAATTGCAAAACATTCACAATTCAAATTATCTAATGACCTTTTAGCATACTGAATTTAGTAAATAATACGCTATAAAATTACAATATTTAAAACATGTGACAAGCTTTGACTTAGAACACTAACCATAGTTGACCCTTGCCTTTATGTGGCCTTTTTTATTATATTTTTTTCTATTTGGAAAATATGATGACATTGGAATATTACCTTGAAGGATAAAATTCACAAAACTTATACTTTAAGATGATTTTTAACAAGGTTTTGACTCCCCTTTTGATTCAGAACGTCACAGTTCAATCCTTGTGATGACTAGACCCAGTATCTCTCATATACTTTATATTTACTTCAAATAGAATTTCCAAAAATTTCAAATGGTTGTATCTGACAAGATCATTCAGACAGTTTTAAATCTTTCATATGCTAGTCAGTTTTCCCCATAAGTTTTGAATTATACATAACTGTTTTTATTTAGACCATATTGAATTCAAAGGAACATGGTTGGAACTTCAAAGTATGCCATTCATTTATTAATTATTAATTATCATGACACATGACTGATGCTATCAGTGGCTGAGTTTTTTTTTTTAAGTGCACATCTTATCGTAACCTAATATTTGACAAACACATCAGTGAAATAAGCATGTCTAATGCACTTGACAGTTTTTTAGCTTGGCGAATGCTTTCTAAATAACTGTGACATAAGGTCTAATGCTATTTGCCATCTCTTTACTGGCATAAATGTATACACATCTAGATGTAGGAGAGACTGTGTATTCGTATTCATTTTCAAGAATGAAGAAAATATGTGTTTGAGTATGTGTACGTGTGTGTGATTGAGTAGGAAGGAGGAATGCAGTGTGTGTCCCAAGGCACAGGGAGGATCATGGGACCCTCACTGCAATGATTCAGTCCTCCACCCAAAGAAAGAGCTCGCTGTTCCCCAGGGATGTTTACTCCTCTGACTCTGACCAGGGAGAGAGCGCGTGAGAGGCAGACAGTAAGACAGACAGAGAGAAAGAGAGAGGGAGAGAGAGAGTGAACTGACACCAAGTAAAAAGAAATTGTAGGCAGGAGAAAAGTTTGACGTAGAGATAGTACTGCACTGTGAAAAAAAATATTTTCATGATTTGCAGTCACAACATTTTTTCTTTTGTCAAATCAACTTAAATAATTTATGTAGTTCAGATAACATAATATTTTGAGTTTCTGATGATTAAATCAATCTCCTTCATTGTATTAACTCAATTTTTCCATTTCAATGAACTTAAAATTTTAAGGCAACCAGGCTTCATTTACTTCATTTTTTAAGTTGAACCAAAAACATTTTTTTTACAGTGTGGATGAGTTAAGAAGATTAAATCTAAACAAACCATCCAATGCCAAATATCAATAATGGCCAATGAAAAACACACTCTGCTTAAGTGCATTTCTTAAATATGAATGCAGCAGCCAAAATATGAGCAAGCACATTCATATTTTGAACACATGGACCGAAGCACCAACACGGTACTGTCTGAAGGTCTGCCGTTCTCTGTCACAGGTCACAAAAGCAAGTGCTGCAGCGATGGCAGGATAGGGCTATTCTTGTACCTGATGACTATCAGGTTTCTGTCAGACCTCAACTGGGTGTGGTGTGCTTAGCATGGGACTGCAGTGTACAGTCCGTATTGATTGAGAGAAGACACTATATAATCTTACAATGATATGCTGTGAATCACAATGCTAAGACAAATACTCAACAAAATAATCAGCATAAAATTAATGAATAATTCTCATTTATTTACTCTTAAAACCCACCTATTGAAAAATAAAAATAAAAATCAAGATGTTGTCATTATTTATATACTCACCCCCTCATGTTCAAATCCGTATTATTAAACAAAAGAAGACATTTTAAATAATGTGTCACTCTTTTCCATGCAGTTACAATGCATTTGAAATACAGCTTTACAGTGGTCCATGTGTTTCAATTGCTGTAAGTTTTCTGATGTCTTTGTGTTTTATCTCTAATCTTAATCAAGAATCACTATGATCTGCTGAGTTGAACGGATCAGTCTGAATTCAGATCATTTTTTAATTCAGTGAATCAGATCAATTAAGTGAATCAGATTATTTGATTCATTTTGATTCAGTTAATCAGATCAATTAAGTGAATCAGATTATTTGGTTCATTTTGTGATTCACTTCTCTCATGAACTCCATCATGTGTAGTAGTGTTGCAAGTGTTTGATGCTGTCTACACTGGAGGCGTCAAGGCAAACATTTCAAATTTATTTGTCCTTTGTGTCAGAAGTAGCTCAAGCGAGCGGGCAATCCATTCATGGTGACGCTTCGCATGGGATCAATAGACGGTACAATGGCTTTTGACACATGTAATGAGTACCTGTAAAAGAAAATAATGAGTAGATTATTCAGTAACACTTTATTTTAAGGTGACTTAGTTACATGTTACTACATGTGCTTACTAAAGAATAACAGTCAATTATGTAGAATTACAAGCTAACCCATAAAGCAAATCCTAACCCTGACTCTATAGTAATGACACACGGAACATAAGTAATTTATTCAGAATCTCTCTTTATTTTTTGTTCCTTAGTACAAAACAGTCCAACAGGTTTGAAACAACATGCGGGTTGTATAATGACAGAATTGTTATTTTAAGTTAACTTATCCCTTTGTGATGTTTTCATTTTGCATGTCAACTGCAGTATGAT